TGTCCTAAGCTCATAAAGGCTTAGACAGGAAGATTTCATAATATGTATATTGGAAAGGGCATGGGCTTTGGGGTTAAAACCAAGTTACCTTGCCTATAATTCCAGTTCCAGTGTGGCTAGCTCTGTGCGTGCGTACAGGTCACTTTACACTGTCCCTCTGCTTCTTTACTCGCAAGACAGGTGTTGCTACTCACACCAGACTGTTTTGGGTATTATTTTCGATTCTGTGTGCTAAATAACACAATAGTACATGCCTGGCAGATAATAGACAGTAACAGATACACTAACTCCTGTTCATCTTCCTCCCCCCCCCTTTCCTCTCATATTCCCCCCAGCCCCCCCTTAGAACATAGGGATGCATGTAAATTTTTACATTAGTCTTAAATTTTCTCAGTATGAGTGAAAACCAATTTATCAGGACTTACTATTAAAGGGGTCTTGAATAATTTGGGGGTTCAATATTTATATAAAAATAGGTTTTGTTTTAGTCTGGATTATTAAAATTCAGTGCCCTGTTATGAGCTACAAAACCTCTTCCATCTGGAATGCTTATACCACATTAGGGCTGTGTTGTGGTCAGCACCACATCTTGGGAGGCTGGACAGGGAGGCTTTCAAGATCCAAATTGCTCTGGTTTGAGATTTGACTCCCCTAAGAGTTTGAAAACTGTCAGGAAAACCACTTGGTCTTTTCATCTGCAGGAAGAGGGGTGAAAAGGGCTCCAGCGTCCATTTTGGTGATGGACACGGGTGACATGGTGATGGGAAACCCACGGGGATTACAATTGAGATGGAAAAAAAATATATGATGTAAAAATAAACTGTTATAAATTAAATTAAAAAAAAAAAAGGCTCCAGCATCCTGGGGTGGTTGTTAGGAGTAAGTGAACTGGGATGTGTAAACCACTCCTGTGGATGTCAGACACATAGCAAGGCGAATGCTGGCCATTTTGGAGGGGATTTCAGAAGAACGTAACGGGTTGTGGGCTGTGGATGCCTTGGAGAAGAAAAGCAAAAGTTGTTGGGAAAAAATTGGGTGTTTAATCTAAGAAAGAAGTATTAAGAGCTCTTTACCATTTCAAGAGAAATTTTGTGGAAGTGGGAATAGACTTATTTTGTGTTATTAAGGATTGTGGAACTAGGAACTAGAAATTATATGGAGGCTGATTTTATTTTAATGAAAGGGTTTGTAACAAGTAGAGCTGTTCAAAATTGCAATGAGTTGCTTTGTGAGCAAGTGAGCTTCCTCCTCCCACCCCTCCCTTAGAAGGCGAGGGAGAGGTCCCTGACCTGTGTGGTGGGTTGAGATAGAGAGATGACAGTTGTTCTCTTCCACTCTGCTCTCAGCTCAGGTCAAGGAATGGGCTTAAAATAAGATAATCCCACATTGAAGTATGAGATGTGCTGGGGTTTGGTAGCATGCATGGGATCTTACTAGATCATATCATTCATTCATTTTGCACAGGTTTATTCTATGAGACATTGTATTTCTGGTCTAATTATGCAGAAAGATAGAGGTTGGAAATGGATATTTGGGGTCTGTTGCTCACACCATTTTGCCCTTGAAATGACCCGGTATAGGTTTCATTATTGGTGCTGTTCTCCTTGGGGTGTTGGCTTTCTTGAGCTGAGCACCACGGGCTCATGATTTTGGACTCTATCTAGGACATTTGTTTAGCAGACAGCTTTGGAAGATGGAGAACATCTCTGCCTGCAGAGCAAAGGACAGATATGCGTCCTGCCTAATATAAGTGGTTCCGTTGTCTGAGCTCAGGGCTTCTCCAGTAACACCAGGGTGCAAGGCTTCTATTTAGACCCATCTGCTTAACCTCCACAGGGCTTGGGGTTAGTGGGGTCTGATACAGATATGCTGGCGCTCGTGCTGCTTGCTGTGCTCTGAGTAATCCAGTCCTTAGCCTCTGAGCACAGTCTTGTGTCTCCACTAGCATCAGTAAAGCCAGTTGGTTTGTCAGTCGGTAACAAGTCAGACTCTTCAGTGCTTGACAGTATGGAGGTGTGACGTGAGAGACAGGTCAAATCTCAGGCTCGGTGCCAAATGATCCAGTGTTTGGGGTGATGGAATTTGTATCTCCAGAAAGAGTCCTTTCTGTGACCTTGTGGGGAAATGCACTGGCTTTTACTGACTGATTCGCTTAGTACGCTGCTGTTGCTGTGAGCTAGGCAGCTGGGAAAATCTACCCCCATTTATTGAGTGCTGATGGTCTGCCAGGCCTCACTAAATTCTTCCCAGCCACTGTAAGAGAGGGATGCTTATCTCTGTTTTATAACCCAGCAAAGTTGAGACGCCACAAGGAAGCATGAGGGCTGTAGACACGGAGCCGGGGCCCCCACCTGGGCAGTTTGACCCTTTCCAGAGCACACTCTGAAAATGAGCTGACCCGGGGTTGGAATCCCTGTACTGTTCCTGTCTTTCATCCTGTGAGGTGATGCAGATTAATTTACCGCGTCCACGTCTCAGCTGCTCACCTCTGTAAAAGGGAGAGGCACTCACAGGCCCTCTGCAAAGGGCCATGAGGAGGATTACACATATCTGCAAGAAAGTGGGCAGCACAGCTGGCTCCTGGCAGTGAGCAAGCCACTCTAAATATTAGCAGCTATTATTTTTATTCTTGTAGCCTGCCTTTTCTCTTAATTAGAAAAAAAAAGCACTTTTAATGGTTTTGTACTTTCAGAGTTCACTAATGTATTTTTGACTAAAGGCAAAATGTCATTCTGCCCAGTTAACATCAAGAGGATGGATTTCAAATGGGGCAAACCTGGCACAAGCTGTCCTTTTTATAATTATTTTCTCTAATAATGAATATAGGAGCTAAAATTCCCTATTAACCACGTTACTCTCTAACCTTAATTTAGTAACCCTTTCTTTTTCCTAAACAACTCCTCGCACGCGTGTGTCACTGTGACAGCTGATGGCTGAGAAGGTGTCCTCGCTGCGTCTGACATTTACCTCGATGACAGTTCTACTCGTTAATGTACACATGGAATTGTTTGGCTTATTTCCTCCCATAAATGGCAGCACTGGAGAGGACCCCAGGCTTTGGGAAGGTGGTAAACTGGCCCTGGGTAGCTTTGAGAATTCTGTGGCTGTGTGCTCTTGTGGAGAGAAACAACAGAATTAAGTATCAAGCCACTCTTCCCTTTTGGGATGGTTGATAAATTGAAGACATTTTCTGATTATACTTTATTTTAGATTAACAGCTTGGAGGGCTTCAGATTTAAAGAGCAAAGTTATGTATCATGGAAACAACAGGAAGATTTGCTAAGCTACTCTGGACCCAAATGTTGCAAGTAATCTTGGCAGCTTTATCTCTGAAACCAGTTTCCCCCTAAGCTCTCCACTCGTGTGGAGGCCATCTGGCATGGGGTCACCAGTTGACAGAGAACCCCGGGGCTTGGCATAGCGAAAGTCTAGTCTCTAATCTGGGCTGCTTGTGTTGCTTTGCTTTCTTGAGTGTACCCCACATTCTATGGCGGGGTACACTCCATTACATTTCTCTCTACCAGACCCTTTATGCTGGTCTTGGTTTCTTCACATCCCTACCACATTTACAAAATTCTTTTTGAAGGTTAGTTTAAAGTCAAAGACTAGCCTGCTGAATTTCCCTTTCAATGGAAAAAAAATTATATATTATGTGGCTTGTGAATAAAGATCTTTGGCCCTAAATGACAGCTTGGAGACGACTGTCGTACAGTATTGTGCCTTTGAGTGTCTGGGAGTGGATATATGATTGATTTGCTGGCGGACCATCTCTGAAAGCATTTCTAATGATGGACTTATAATTGATGGCATCCATCATGGCAAGCCTGAAATAACCCCCTCCCTAAATTAAAAAAGGATAAATGAAATAAACTCGACTGAATGTATAAGCTGACAAATCTGAGGGAATTTAATGAAACTCTAAATTACCACAGTCAACAGATAAGAGGAAAAGGTTTCTTTGTTGCTGATTATAACACTAAATTAAAAAAAATTATCCAGGAGTGATAATAGCGGAAACAAAGATTTGTGGTCCCTGTATCAAACTAAGTTATTGAAAGATTTTTAATAAGTGTATCTCATTCCCTGCTTATTGTTGATTCATATCAATCTCGTGAGTGCTGTTGGGAGAATAGTAAATTCTGGGCCTGGCTTGTAGAATAGCTTATGTTATTGCTGTTTCAAACAGATTTTAGTGCTACTATGACCTTCTTTTCAGACTGCTGGCAGCTCTGGACCAAATTCAGGTCATTCAAATGAGCTACGTGGAAGGTAGCTTCTTAGTGTCTGAATAATGTGATCAATTCTATGCTTTTAGCTGTGTTCTGAAGAAGATCCACTGAAAATGACTTAAGCAAGGACCTCTTTCTTCATCTCCCCTCACCGGGAGTCCTGAGCTAGGGCCGCCTTGGGGGAGGCTACTCTGCCTTCTGTATTTGGGCTTGCCTCCAGGCCTTCCCTTTCATAGTTGTAAGATGGCTGCTGTTTTGGAGCATGTCAGCTTTGTGTAATGATAGCCATTGTCGGGGAAAAGGACCCCTTTCTTGATAATCTTGCAAGAAAACTTCTAAAAGTCTTTAGGTCCTGACCAGACCTGTCACCAGTGAGGTTACTAGGAGTTAGTAGGATTTAGTCAAACCAACCAAGACTTGCCCAGATGCGTGTGAAATCCATGCCCATGTGTTGCCTGGTTGTAATTGGTTCAAGAAGGCTTCTTGGGTAGGCAACCAGCCAGTCCACTCAGCCGGGCTACTGGAATTTACTGTGAAGCAGCAGGGAAACAGGAGAGGTCTGCTGTGCCATGTGGGTCAACTCCCTGGCTGGGAATCGAACCCATGTAGCAGTGGCTGCGGGTAACTTGATAGTGCTGTGACTAACCCCTGTGCCACCAGGCCCACTTGTTCTGTTTTCTAGTTAGTGACCCAGACATGGTAGCATACTAACTCATCTTTTACTTTTTGCTTTTAAGTTTGATCCAGCTTGATGTATTCTATCTTTCCCAGGACTCTCTCAACCAGTGATGATGTCGAAGACAGAGAAAATGAGAAGGGCCGCCTTGAAGAGGCCTATGAGAAATGTGACCGTGACCTGGACGAGCTGATCGTGCAGCACTATACAGAGCTGACGACCGCCATTCGCACATACCAGAGCATCACGGAGCGCATCACCAACTCGCGGAATAAGATCAAGCAGGTGAGTCCCTCGTCTCTTGGCTGGCGACCAGAGGCGTTCATTAGTCCAGGTGATGCAGCGTGGACAGGAACCGTGGACGTGGCTCGTGGCCTTAGTGAGGGAGGCATAAGGGCACTTTTGAGGAACTTTGCAGGCATCTACACAGCCTGGCTGAAGAGCTGCCCTGAAGGAGTTCTGAGCTCCCTTGGTCCTGCCCCAGGTCTTTGCCTCAGCTTTTGTGATTACCTCAGGGTGAGAGAGAGAGAAATGACCCAGAGAGGGCCTCCACTTGAGGGAAACTGCATGGAATCCTAGCCCAGAAAAGAGCTCCTTTAAGACCCCAGGCCTCTTAGTGCAGAGGCTCCCGGGCAGTGTAGTAAACATGTTTGATGTGTCCAAGTTTGATGTAAGCGTGTGTGTGTGTTGCTATAGAATGGGAAATTTTTCATTTTTTTGAAGTACTTTGAGTGTGGCACCCACTTTGAAGCTGGTTGTGATTTCTCTGCACACATTACACACTCTTGGAAATTTTGGTGCAGAAAACCTAACTCACAAATTATTGAGCCATCAAAAGAAATATTTGAATACCAAAGCTTGTAAGCATCTTTCTTGAGTAGTGGCAAGCCTGTGCTTCTAGTTTGTCACTTTCTTTCATATGTTGGAGCTGTTTCTTTTCTCTGTTACTTCCCTCTTCTTCCTGCTGCCCCCATTTTCCCTTCCTTCCCACCCCTCCCCTTCCCTCCATCTCTCACCATTGCCTGTTGTGGTAAGTCCTGGAAAAGCTCTTGGTTTCTGGGTACCATGTCTTCTGTGCCTTGAGGGTAAAGTAGTTCCTAACAGTAGCTGAGATTTGACCAAGGGATGAACTGGGCAAGTGCAGCTGTGCAGTCCCCTCATAGTGATGTGGTTCCTGCTGTGCATTCTGAGTGTCACTAATACCTTAACTGTCTTCTTTGATGAATGACTGTAGTTGCCACATTCATGGTCGACCCTTGCTAGGCACGCTGATCCCCACCCCCCACTCAGCATATTTCCAATTCCTACACCAGTCTCCCTGACTTGAAAGTTTTGCTGCTGGTTTTCAGACATTTTTAAAGCAGTAATTTCTTTTGTCTTCCCCCCCTTACATGAAATTTTATAGAACTCAACTCGGCCAACATTCAGGGAGTTTGGGGTGAGAGGTCCAGAACCTCGAGTATGGGCCTTCCCTCCTTTGGGACGGAGCCTTCGGGCTGCCTGCCTTAGTGCTAGTTCGTGGTGAGGGAACTCCCCCTGTGCAGCCCAGTCATCGCTGTGCTAAGCCACGCTTGGGTCTTTCCTTCCCTGCGTTGTAGACCTTGTATTATGGTGTTTAACAGATACATAAATCACTCTCCTACGAGTGCTATGCTAGAAACTTCAGCATCTAAGAGTACAGTTCCAGAATGAGTAAGCTCTTAACCTTTTTGGAAGCCAAGTGCTGACCTGTTTACATTTTAAGATTAACTGGGCATTTTCGAAGGGAATACTGTAATTCTTTGCCTTTACAAGTGCTGAGTTCATCCTCCAGATTTATCTATGAAGCTAGGTAATGCTATATAGATCCGTGGCTGCAGGTAAACCGTAGTCCACTTTGACCCAATATGTTAAGCCCAAGAGAGGTGGGAAAATGAATGTATAGAGCTGCTGACCTTCTGGCTTTGCCTCAGGTAATCATGGTGAGGGTGAAAGACCTTTTGGCATTTGTGTGATTAGTGTGCTTGACCGAGAGGACTTTGTCTAATGTCGCTGCCTTGGCTCCTTTTCGCCCTGCATCGATAGCATCTTTGCCCAAACAAAGAGGGCCTGCTGGTGCTGGGAGTGCATTTCATCTTGATTATTTCACTTTGTTTTAGTAGCCATGGTCTTTGCACCATCCTCATCTTTTTAAAGTGTACTAGCATTTTGAGCAAAAGAAAACAAAAACCTGGGGGAAAAATCGTGTTCATGCTATCAGACAGTTGTCAAGAAAGTAAATGTCACATAATACTGTGTTTTGAATTAGCTTCCATATTGGGAAGAGAAGAAAGGGCTAACATTTTTCAAAGAAGCCTTTAATAATTGATTGGATAAGAAGAATGTTGGGGCAAAACAAAAGTGAATTTATTTTCATTGTGTAATTTGACAACCATATAGCCTGAAAGTCCACTTCTTATCACCAAGGAAACACTGATGTTTCCTCACTAATCTTTTCCAGCCATTTTTGGTTTTTAATTGCACTTTGGATTATATACAAAATAGAGGTATATATATTTTTAAAGGAAAAAGGGGGTGATCCAATCATCACTTAGCTACTGTATTTCAGAGCCAAGCAAGATATTGAGAATGTATAGCTCAGATTTGAAATGTTCTTTCTGCTCTCTGCCAAAAAAGAAAAGGAAAAAACCAAAAAAAAAAAAAAAAACCCCAAAAATCCATAGTGGGGCTTCATTCAGCAAATATTTGTTACCAGCTGTATGCCTGTTTTAGATACTGGGCTCTGACAGTTGGAAACCAGCAGTCTCTGTCTTCATGGGGTGTAAGGGCAAGTGGGAAGAGACAGAAAAGCAAGTAAATAATATTCCACAACATTGATTTATTTCTGTGTATGAAATATCTGTTTTGTGCTGAGTATTGCTTTAAGCACTAGGATCTAGAGGTAAGTGAAATAGACCAAAATTCCTGTTTTCATAGAATTAACATTTTCAGTTCATGTTCTAGTCAAGGGAGCCAGACAAGAGAGTAATAAGATAGGTGCACCCTCTCCCCCACCCCCTCACCCCCATAGAAACATGTGAGAATAGGAAATAACTGTTTAAAATAAATTGGCCAGAGAAGATTCACTGAAGCTTCATTAAGCCAACACTTGTGGGAATTGAGGGAGAGTCAGGAAAATTACCTCAGGAAGGAAGGACAGTGGATGCAAACTAATTCTGAAGCAGGAACATGGTTGGAATTTGGGGGAGCATTAAGGGTGTTTATGGGGTGAAGCAGCATGGGAAGTGGGAGAGAGGGAGCTGTTAGTGTGGTGGATGGGCCAGATCTGGAAGGGCCCTGCACACTGTCAGGACTTTGAACACTGGGTGATAGGAGAGGTTACGTGTGCAGGATGTGATGTGACGTACATTCCAGCAACACCACTCTGTCACACTAAGTTGCTTGGCATGGGAACCAAGGCAGGTGAAGATGGTCACATTCATTCTTTTTCACCTGAGTTTGAGACCACAGAATGTTTATGCTCTCTATCTGGTGTTTTTTTTTTTTTTTCTATATGGACATCTGTGTTGTTGGTTGAATTCTGTTTTTAAGGATACTACAGAGTTGGCAGATGGATTTGAGGCTCTGCTCAGATAGTTCAGATTTTATTGTATCAGTCAAGTTGACTGGAATTTGTTCTTGTTTGAAAAATTTGTGTAAATGAAATACTCCACTTGCTTAATCAGGTCAAGTAATGCAAACAATAGAGTAGGTAGGCATCCTGTTGTTGAATACCCTATAACGTTGAGCAAAATGAGATAACTGCATTTGAAAACTCCAGAATTCGTAGGTTCTATCAGTGTCTAGCTAACATAGCAGCACTAACCAACACATGCACATGTGAGTGGGAACAAATTGGGGACTTGAGTCCCGAGGGTGATGCCTGCTGGTAATTGAATGTGTTCCTCCAGGCTTTGCTAGGTGGATGAGATGACAGGACTTTTTTTTTTTTTTTTTTTTTTTAAGAATTATTTATCTATGCATACGAGAACTGGGGTCAGGCCAGAGGTGTAGTTGGTAAGATTATTCACCAGAGCCAGAGTGGGAAGATGAAGAGGCAGACTGATGAAGTACACTGCTGAGGGAAGCAGTGGGTGAGACAGTAGA